CACCCCGCCGGGGGACGCGGCGGCGACGGCCGGCGGCCCGCTCTGCTGCACGCTGTGCCGCGACCGGCTGGAGGACATGCACTTTGTCCAGTGCCCGTCGGTGGCGTCGCACAAGTTTTGCTTCCCGTGCTCTCGCGCCAGCATCAAGACGCAGGGCGCCGGCGGGGAGGTGTACTGCCCCAGCGGGGGGCGCTGCCCCCTGGCCGGCTCCGACCAGCCCTGGGCCTTCATGCAGGGCGAGATCGCCACCATCCTGGCCGGAGACGTCAAAGTGAAGAAGGAGCGAGACTCTTAGGAAGTTACCGTGACGACCGCGGAGCTCGCTGGACTTGCACTCGTGACGCCGTCTGTGTCTTCCTTTTGTTTTCTGCTTTTTGTTTTTTTCACATTCTGTTTGTACCCTTTTCTGGCTTGGCCAATAAAAACAAATCGACCATTCAGATTCTGTGTGTGCGTGCGCGTGACGCAACCCCCTCCCCGACGTCCACAGTGTTTTGCAGGTGGCATGTTATGTCAACACACGGGTTATCTGGCCGTGCTGTGGGGCCATGAGAGATAAGGGCCACTAAAATGAGCGCGCGGGCACTTCCCGTTTGCGGTGTGTATCGCAGGGGTGTCGATCTCATTTTTGTCGTACTGGAAGTACGCCACTATGAATGAATTTTGTCAAAGCGTTTCCATATTTCAGCACGTCCACATACTACATACACGGCGATGAACAAATCGATGGACAACCAGGTTTGACATCAGAAGTCAAGAACCGCCGGCCCGAAATTTGAGCCGGAAAAGCAGCGCCCTCTGTCGACCAAGCGTGAGCGTTACACTGCAGTGGACCGACCCGTCGAGGATGACGCCGTTTGCTGCCGCTCGGATTCATTCGCTCGGACAGTAATAGGGATTATTACAGCAGTATTTATCAATAGTAGCAGTAATTCAAATACATTTGTGGTGTATAATTTATTGTTTATTGTTCTTTGTATGCTTTTTGGATGCGCGGACTTCCCGTACCTTACCTAGCCATCGACTGCGCATGCGTGAGAAGGTTTTCAAAAAAACGCTGAGGCGCTTTCCCCGCCTTGCTGTCGTTTGAAACTCACACGGTCAATCATATACAATCGAAAACGCCACCAAATCAAACAATTTCCGGCGCAACAAACGAACGGATGGACGGTTCCCAAATAAATGAACACCGATGACAAAACGCCCAAACGCCTTTTTCAAGCGTTGTGTATTTTCCGACAGGCGATCAGTGGACCACTAAAAGTCTGTGACGGATCGGGGTCTTTCCGGGGTCCTTTCTTTCTTCCTTCCTGTCTGTCCCGCCGTCGGTATCCCAAACGGGCCAGAAAAGGAGAAAAGATCGAGCAGCTCTTCGGATTTTGGAGCGATGATGGTCGGGAAGACGGGCGCCATCGCGGCGGGGGTGTGCGGGGCACTCTTCGTCGGTTATTGCCTCTATTTCGATCGGAAGAGACGCAGCGACCCCAACTTCAAGAACAGGCTGCGCGAACGTGAGTGTTGTCCTTCCCTCTTCTTCATCAGCCGTTCGGTCCCGTCCGCTCCATTTTGGGACCGCTTTTATTATTCGACCGGCAGAGAACTGAGCCGAGGCGAGCCGAGCCGGCCTTTCTCAACGTTTTTCCTCTTTCTGTGACGTCATCGTGGGGGGCCACAAAAGGAGATGCTCGAGTCTGTTCCCGGAACAGTAATTGGATGACGTTTTCCGTCGTTTTTTAAGAGTATTGATTGCCTTACGTCTTGGAAGAAGTCCAGCCGGGAGTATTTGGGGTCAACGTTGTACGTCACCGTTCGCGCTTGAAGGCGCGCCCGCGTTTGAATGTCGCTGACGATGGTGCGCCTTGAAGGTATTTTTTTTGCAGGTGTCCAAAGCACAGAGGATGCTAACTAACCAGCGCACGCTCGTTGCTCCTCCGTGTCTTCCTTTCACAGGGCGGAGGAAGCAGAAGGTGGCCAAAGAGCGAGCCGGCACGGCCAAGGTGACTCGTCGTTTTTTCTTCTCGGCTCAAAGGCGAGCGAGGCTTGCCTAAAAACTTTTTTTGTTTGATCGGCGAGCAGCTCCCGGACCTGAAAGACTCCGAGGCCGTCCAGAAGTTTTTCCTGGAGGAGATCCAGCTGGGGGAGGAGCTTCTGGCCCAAGGTAACAGCTGAGGAGCCCCCCGCCAGAGTTTGCCAGTCGGGTCCGCGCCGCCCCCTCGTCCCTTTTTTTTTTTTTTTGCAGGCGACTACGAGAAGGGCGTGGACCACCTGACCAACGCCATCGCCGTCTGCGGACAGCCGCAGCAGCTCCTGCAGGTCCTCCAGCAGACGCTGCCGCCGCCCGTCTTCCAGATGCTCCTCACCAAGCTGCCCACCATCAGTCAGGTGGGGGGCCCTCGGCGCCCGCCGCTGAACGCGACGAATGCCGACTCGGTTTTGATGATGCCGCACTTCGGATGACTCTTGACCCGATCTTTTCTTTCTGTCTGTGTGCGTGCCGTTAGCGTATCGTGAGCGCGCAGAGTCTGAGCGAGGATGACATCGAGTGAAGGCGGCTGGCCGTCCTCGTCTTCGTTCCGTGGCGTGTCGGCGAGACGCTCCGTGCGGAAGACGGCGCCACCGTTTCTTGTTTTTTTTGCCCCCCCCCCCCCTCTCCTTCTTTTCTTCTTGTTTGTCGTCATCCCGCCGAGCTGTCTTTTTTTTTTTTTTTTTTTTTTTGTAACGCCGCCTTCCGGAAACGGTGCCCGTCGCGTCTGAAAACGTCCACAGGGGGGCGCTCGCTTTCGTCAACGGTCTCGATTCAGCACGTCGATGGCGTTTGTTTGTCTTTCAGAGCAAAAAGCTTTTATTCGCACCACTCGACTCTTGTCAAAGTCAAAAGCAGCCATTGACTCATCTGCGGTGAAATCGCGCCTCGAAAACGTTTCGGAGCGGCGATTGAGGCTTTCGGGGGGAGGGGGGGGGACCTTGGGTTTCGACGCGCAGCATCACGTCCGGTCTCGGTGGCCGACGTTTGTTTCCGGTGACTTGCGAGAGGTCGCCGTCGACTTCCGCGTTCGGGTTTAGTCGGAGTCGGGCGGCGGGGCGTAATCCGAGTCGCCGTCCTCATTGTCGTCGTCGTCGTCGATGAAGCTGTCGCCGGAGTCCCGATCCGTGTCGGGCGCCGCCCCCGCCTTGGGGACGGCCCGCCTGCTGCCGACTGACGGCAAGTACGACTTGATTTCCAAATGTCTGGATGAAAGCTTTTTTTTTGTTGTCGTTTTTTTGTTTGGGGGCGTGCGCGTACCTGCTCGCTCTGGGTGTCGGTATCGTTGACGGTGAAGGGGATTCTTCCTGCGGAAAACAACGAGCAGAGGAAGCACAAGGACGGCCTTTTATCAACGGACAACCCGCCACCCCCGACTTTTTTCTCCGCGCCGCCGCGTCAACTCGGCCACCTGTAGCACTCGGCGCCGTAGGGACACTCGGCTCGCTCTTCCTCCGCCGCCTCCTCCTCCTCTTCCTCGTAGTCCGAGTCTCCGGGATGGCTGCTCTCCCGCAAGTGGAGAGGGTTCTTCCTGCGAGGGGCGGCAAGACGGAAAGCGGGCTTGAACGGCGACTCGAAACGAGGACGGCGCCACCTGCTTGCGAGGGAGGCGTCGCCGATCGAGCGAACCTGTAGCAGCGGTTTCCATAAGGGCAGGCCGTTCGCCGTCTGGGGGCGGGGCCGTCGCGGCGCAAACCGCCGGCCGGCAAGACGGAAAGCGGGCTCGAACGGCGACTCGAAACGAGGACAGCGCCACCCGCTCGCGAGGGAGGCGTCGCCGATCGAGCCAACCTGTAGCAGCGGTTTCCGTAAGGGCAGGCCGTTCGCCGTCTGGGGGGGGCGGAGCCGTCGCGGCACGAGGTCCTCGCCGCCGCGGCTTTTCTCGTCGGCTGCGATGGCACAAACGTGATTGTGGCTCGTCGCCTAGTGCGACGCCCAGATCGCCCCCCCCCCTGCCGGGCGGCGCTCCGTTACCTCGGCGACCGGGGGAGGCGGGCGTCCGGACGGCCGCCGTCATCATCATCCACGAAGGTAAACGTCGTCGTTTCTCGCGGGCGGGGGGGGGCGCCCG